CCAAGTTTTGCTGGCTGCATCATCCGTGTGGCGCTGTAACGTTCGATTTTGCACGTGCCACGTTCGAATACAAGCCGCTGTCAGCATCTGTAGATGTGCGGTAACAAAGCGTCTAAAAAAAGTTAAAAAAAAAGAACAGAATTATGCTGCTTGCGGCCGCAGCGTTCCATTAAACATTCCTTTCATATTTGCTTTCTTTCACAGCTTCCGCGAGCACGTATATTTCACTTTACGTGATAGTGAAGCCGAAGCTACTCGGAAAAGCGCGTCATCCTGAACGATGCTCGCACTGCACGAGCGCGTGTGCTTGGCAGGGACGCGGAAAGCTCGCAGCTCGCTCTTGGAGCCTCAGCTACGCTGGAACTTACAATGGAACTGAGTAGAAAAAACTCTAGTGGGGAAGCGTATTAATGCATGTTCGAAACGCGAGCCAAATATTCTATTTTGCTCGCCTGCAGCGCTGCTCAAAACTTGTGAGCTACAGGGCCTATCGTTCTAAAGGAAAAAGTCTAAAACAAATTTTGCCTTGCACGCGCGTTCGTCCAAGTCTTATAATGATTATTTACTTCGAATCTTTTATAAGAGGAAGGACAGCGAGCGCGGACCATAGAATTACACTTCCAGCGTTCTTCTCGATGCTTGGGTAATTTAGAAAAAGGTCTGTTGGGGCGGGACGCTGGTCTTCTTTTGTGTACTATTAATATCCGGTCGATTGAGTCAAGGCAATCCGCTTTCCAAAGACGTTGCCATGCCGACAATTATCGCGTTCATTTAGGCTTAGAAAGGCCAGAATCGAAAGACGATGCAACAAATGCCGCGAAGTCATTGCTCGTGCTTTGCGATTTAAGCGAGGTAAGGCAAAGCGAAAGTCTCCTGCACCATTCGTTGCTGACTAACGCGCCCGATAGTGCAGCTACAACGACATATTAGTTACAAAGCGAGCGGCGCTCACGCACCGGGGCGCCGCCACGCTTCCCGGCATCCCAGCCCCCAGTCACGTGATTTCAAACTCCTCTCCTAGGTACTGCTGCTAACTTTAGCCGCGGTTAGCGCTTCGAGCAAACGGGCCCAGGTTTTCTTTTCCGCCAGCTCTGCATGATGGCCAATTTACCTCGTTTCTTTATACTGGCTACTGCATGTCAGGAACATCGGTTGTTTTGATAGAACCGAGTTGGATGGACATCTGAGAATTCGAACTTATTAGTTAATACACTGAAAGCGACACGTACTGAATACATGTAGCGATGTAGGAGTGTGGCAGATTTAGAAATATTGAATTTTTTTTAATTATAAGCTCGACCACTGATTCAATCTGAGTATTCTTATTCCTAAAGTCAGATTGAATGGAAATATGTAACCAGATGCACCACTCGCTGACAGTAACTCTGTCAAATGGCCACAACAATTTAAGATCCCTCCTCCAGGTCATACTTCAGAAAAACTAATAGTTTATTTTTCGGTTAATATTGGTTAAAACCGGTTACCGGTGAATAATTTACGGTTCCGGTTCCGGTTACGGTTTTATAAATATCAAATAACGGGTTCGTTCCGGTTATGGTTACAGAAAAAATTTCGTTCCTAAACGGTTTTCGGTTTCGGTTACGGTTACGGTTTGAGTCCCTGGTCAAAAGTAACGCCACGAGAGTAACGGATTACTTTTTGGAGTAACGGTTAGTTACTTCTACAATAGGGTAATTGTAATTGTAATAAATTACAATTTAGCCTTGAGTAATTGTATATGTAATTCCTTACTATTTTTCAGTAACGTGTACAAGTCTGGTCTCAAGCACATTGCATTCGCAAAACACATCCACACGGCGTCGATTCTTGGTCGGTATCCAAGCGCGCGAAGGCACAAAGACGCGGCACTTTGGCATGTCAAGGAAGCTTTGAACACGCCGCCTGCAGACCCTTGCTTTCGACGAGGGGTGCCTTTTCCCTGCGACACTGCGCTTTCGTAAAATTTTCCACGTGTTCACAACGGCAAGTCTCAACAATACACAGAGTATCAAAAAACTTATAAGTTCTTCGGCGAATGACGACGAACGAGTAGAAAACGTGTCTACAGCCACTACAGCACGCTGGAAAACTGCAGCAAAAGGCTAGCGAAACTGGAAATCGTATCCCAGCGAGGTTGTGTCCGGTGGCTTTCCTTGCGGAAGCGGGAAGCGCGATAGTAACTTATTTGTTTCCAGATATTAAACTCGTTGGTTGTTATAATTCTGCTAGCCAAGCTAGATGAGCGTGTCAAAGATTACCGCATTTCAATGTTCCAGAATAATTTCGAATTTCACGGCTGGGTTCGGCGTGCTTGAGCGGCGTTTTTTTTTTTTTTTTTTTTTTTCTTGTAATTGATTTTGCATAAATATTTTTTTACTCGATTTTGCTAGCCAAGCTAGATGAGCTTGTCAATGATTATCGCATGTCAATGTTCTCGAATAATTTCTAATTTCAAGGCTCGGTTGACGCTGAAAATGTGGAGTGCTCGTGAGACAGTTTATTTTTCTTAACTGATTTTGAATAAATATGATTTTACTCTACAGGCTTGGCGTTGTAGGATAGGCACAGGACACGTGATCGCTTGTTCTGGCTCCGAGTTGAGGGGCGGAACGAGGCTCATATTTCTCGACTTTTTTTGGCGACAGCCATTGACTAGAAAGAAAAACTAAGGCAAGTTTACTCAGTTATTAACGTTAGGGAGTGATTCTGAGTAATATTTAGCGAAAGTATAAAAATCGTGATGGAAACGATGAAAATAAATTTATTTTTAACTCTTTCGACACTCGAGGACTTAGTTTTCAAAATCCCGTTCCATACAACTAAAGCGCACTCTAGCTGAGACCTAATTAACGAATGGAACTAAGCAAAAAATGCGGACGACATTTTCAGCTCTTTCGCTATACACTCTTAAAAAAAAAAGGGTCACTATGGCTTCCTTTTGGGGGGTATTGGCGCGCCGCAGAATCGACTCCAGTTTGTAGAGTCCCTCGACTCTTTTTTTAAAGAGAGTCGCCACGACTCCCTGCGGGGGGTCCTTGCGCGCTACAGATTTGACTCCTCCACGACTCCAGTTTGTAGTCACTTGACTCTTATTTTAAAAAGAGTCCTGCGACTCTCATCACACTGGAGTCATGGTAGTGCATGGGCGACTCCAGGTGACGTAGTCAACTGCGACTCTTTAACGACTCTTATCCAACGGAGAAAAAGAGGCACACGACTCCTTCCTGGTAATCCCCGTGACTCTCTAACAAGAGTTGTGGGGACCCTCCTTTTATGAAGAGTCCCCCGAATCCTATCGCAAAAGAGTCATGGGAGTGTATGAGCGACTCTCCGAAAGATAGTCAGCGCTGACTCTCACTTTGTCTGGAGTATAGCAGCCCTAGTCAAGGTGCGGCACCTAACGTCCGCAGAGACAAGTGAACCATCCTATTTACCTGAATGTCAAATATCCGGGTCGAATCAAACACACCTCCAAGATCCCTCGCTCAACCTGCTCGTTAAAACGGCTCAACCTACAAGAACTTTCGTATTGTTCTTAATGCTCAGGCGGTTTGTCTAGGCATATTTTCGGAATACCCAAGGTTTACTTTTCCCGTCACGCTATTTATTATCTCTACATTAAAAATGGCCATAGAGAAAACGCCAAACGAATGTGGCGCCAAAACCAATATTCAAATTTTCCCGCGCTCTCCTGTAGGGTGACGTGACATGCTGTATTACAAAATTCGCCAATGTCTATTTTTTTTTCTGGCGCATTTGACAAGCATTGTTTTCAAAACATCATACTTGTTGTAACCCGTCAGGAACCAGCTGTAATGGCCTATATTTCTCCATAGTACAACATCTGACGTCGCGTTTTCAGTGTAACAACTAGAGCCTTTCAGCCTCAGACCAAGTTTGACACTTCACTAACTTAGGGGGAAGAAAATAAGTTATTGTGACTTGCAGTCTAGGTTACTGTTTCAGATGTCTGTATTAATATGTTGAAAAAGCTTTAAGGGCCTTGTAATAACGGGAAAAAGGACAAGGGGGCTGGTGCGGGGGGGGGGGGGGGGGGGGGGGGGGGTGGCGTGGAGGGGCGACAGGGCCGCTGGAGCTTAGGTGCGCTCCGATAGGAAATCAAAACATAAAAACGTGTCCACATAAAGCGTTTTAATTTTTTTTTCGGTGGGGGGGGGGGGGGGGGGGGGGGGGGGGGAATGGGTTGGTTCAGTGGCTTTCGATGATCCTCAGCAAGCTTATAATTGGAACCATGCGTTCATTTTCGCTAGTTAAATGTTAATTATAGTCGGTGACAGGTCAAGAACCTAGGGGGAGGGAAAGAAAAGCTGGGGAAGAGGAAGCAGGCGGAATGCTGGAGAGAGGGGGATGTGTCCTGCTCTACAGCATTCCATCTGCTTTCCCCTTCCCTGCCTGCCTTTCCCTCGCCCTGGGTTCTTAACCTGCCACTGTCTACAGTCAAGTTTAGGTAACTACTTAGTTCATTAGTACGATTTTCTCCTAAAATTCTGATGTCCGCCGTGACTAAAATTTGTTTTCCCGAAAAAAGTTTTTTTTTTAATCAGCTGTTTTTTTTTTTTTTTTTTTTTTTTTAGTTTTCGCCGAAACAACTGGTTAATGTGGTACATAATAAAATCGGAGACAAGGAAACAAAAAGAATGTACGCAACACCGTCTCATAGGGTGTTGTGTAGATTCCTTTTTGTTTCTGTGTCTCTGGTTTTAGTACGTTGCCTGATAGTCACCAGCTCACCTGCGCCCTCAATCTTCTCTAGAATTAATTTTGTAAAACGATACTCTGACCGGTCAAACAAAACAAACTCGCCAATAAAAGAAAAATTTAATTTGAGCGATTCGCAAGACATTGCCGGAAATACGTCACGTGGAACCCCCCAACGGGGTTTGAATTCCTCCCTCTGTCAAATCCGGGCTCTTCAGGAACTTCAAGCCTCCCTCGCGCCATCAAGCGAGTAGCACATAAACTACTCCCTCATCTGTCTCCCACTACCGTTCAGAGATGGCAGCAGCTCCTAGGACGGGAACCAAACGCAATCCGACGCGGGGGCTGTTGATATCTGTGTAGCAGCATCCCAGAACGCCGCTTCCTCGCTCAGCAGCTGCTCTACTGCCTCTATCTACTCTACGAGCGCTTTGCAGTTTGCCGCGTGCGAGCAGTGCGAGCAGTGCGAGCACGTCAGTTGGTCAGTGTTTTCTCCGCAGGTAGGAAGCCAACCAACCGGAGTAAGAAGCAATGGCCTGCCAAAACGTAGCGCAGAAGGTTACAGAGTGGCTGCTATGGGACAAGGTAAACAGATTGTCTCCATTGCGAATATTTAGTAGATCTCATCCACCCGTGTAATTCATGCATCCGTACGGTGGTACACGCTGCAAACATAATTCACTTAAAAAAAAAAAAAAAAAATACGGCTTTAATTTTCTGAACAATTGCAGAATTGTAGTTAACGTTGCGTTGTGCGCCGCGCTGCAGTGTTTCCACTCCAAAGTCGGCAAGCTCTTTGAATATGATCGAGTTGGTGTTGCGGTGGGGTTTTGTTTTCTTTCTTTGGCCGTTTCGCCGTTAAGCGAGATTTGACATTGACGTCGGCTAAGTATCGCCTTCAAGGAGACGATAGGGCGATATACGATTACGCGGCGGTCGCCGCCGAGCCGCTCGAGTGTAAGGTAGCTCGTTTCTGGAACTATGCCAGTAATTCCTCCGCGTCGATAGACCGCTTCGGACTATCCGTGTAATCGGCATAATTATCGTAGACGCAAACACCAGGAAGCATTTTAAGGTAATCCATAACTAGCAGAATGGCAATGAAACAGGTGCCTTTAGAAAATGTATTTTTTTTCTCTTCTTTTTTAAGAAAATTGCAGCGCAAGCAGAGCACACTTGATTTTAAAACTTCATTGTTATTTCTGTTCAAACTCATGTGCTCCAGCCACCCGTCCTGATTTGATCATAATCACCAGGAGAATCATCTAATAAACTTGCTAAACAGGACCTAGCGCCCTTCCTGTCTACCTCGCCCTTCCTTCCTTGTTTTTTTGCGCTATTTTCTTCATAATTGCTAAACAGGCACGCTTTTTTTTTTCTTTTTTAATGCGCCGATGACGGGGGGGTGGGGGGGGCTCTGGGGTTCTCTCCCCCCCCTCCCCCCCCCCTCCCCCTCCCGAGCTCTTCGGAAAAACAAGTACCATCACCTCCGGAACCCCTGGGTTCCGGAGGTGATGGTACTTGTTAGTCTCATTAGTCTCATCCGTGCGCCTTGATGCCCGCACATATCGATAGCTGGTGCCCAGTGGACAAATAGAAATTTATTGACTAACCAGCTCTAGTCACTAAGTAACCAGAGCTGGTGAGTGGATAAATTTTTCTGACTATTCGCGCCGTCCTGTTCGAAGACCCTATGCAGTATTAACAAATGCGATACAGGCGAGTGCTGGAAATTCCTTCGAAAGCCATTGGAAGTAGTTGCAAATGACGACAGTGGCACCTCTAGCGGACCTGCTGCCTATGGGAGTAGATGACATAATACGTTTTGTAAGCCCCATTTTGTTTTCCCAAACGTTAAAACAATTCATTAAGGTCAGTGCACTTGAACCACGTAATTCAGTGATCACGACTGCAATGACCGCTAAATTATAGGGTCACAAAAGCAGACCTTTCTCTACGTATCGTGCTGTCAGCATGCTTATCCTACGTTATCCAGGGGACTGCACACATCTGGGACGTCTCTTTCAAGAGACGTCCGCGGGAGGGGGCGGGCAAGCCTTTCCCCCGCCCCCGGGAAATTGAGAACTTTCTGCCTATGTTTGTTTAAATATTTTTGCATAAGATGGTGAAACAAGAAACAGAATTCAGAGCTGTGCAGAACAAACCCTGACCCTAGTGATACAGGTAGTCAACACAGCAACCCAGAAATAGAAAGAAAAAAAAAAAGCAACACCCATGCAGAAGCGATTGGTTATCTCCACTATCTTTAACAAACAAGGTCTGGGCAGCCCAGGGATTCAGGCCGAGCCCCCGGTAGTGTTATCGGAAGCTCACATAACAGCAAATAGCTGGATCCAATGGCACAGTTTGGAAACTTTTGACCACCAGCTTCCTCGAACATACCATATTTCCTGCACTATTGGCGACAAGATGTTTTGGTGGCGCCACATCGTGGGCATCCGATGATGGAACTAGTAGGATGCATGCAGACGATGGAGTGCCCTTGTTAGTTCGTATCTATGCCAATTAAAAACAGTTTATTTGTTGAAGATACACATATGACCTTTTTGTGAGTGAGATCTCTAATGAATAACAGTGCCTCCAAGTTGCTTGTTATATTAAAAAAACAACTTTCAAATGTTCAAAAACAAGCCTGGAGCTTCACATTACAGCTTGTGTGGTGTGTGTCAGGGCTATTTGCAGCCTCACTGCTTTTTGTTTTTTTTTGAACCTGGGGAGGCTGCTGTAGAAAAAGGTTTTGCATTCACTAGAGTAAATGACGTGCTGCCTTCTTAACTGTACGCATGCACAGTTGTGTTGCAAAGCGCCGCACACTTTTTTAAGCTACATTGAACTTACCGATACCGACGCTTCTATCCAAGTGTGACTCAACACTTGCTAACAAGCAAATGCACCTCAGCAGCTGATGCTTAGCCCCTCTCTCATCGAATATGTGTCAAAGAAGTTTGTCATATCGCGACTTCTGCTCAAAAGAAAAGCAATAATTTTCATAAATTCTTAAATTGTCGGACATGGCCCGGCAAATTCAGGGGATTGATCCATTTGTTCTATATAATTTTGACTAAGAAGTTTTTACAAATTTAAATTCGCTCGCTGAGAAGCGCATTATGTGCATTTGGGTCCGCAAAATGAAACACACAAACATGAATAATTTATAGAAGGCATATACCTCATCTTTTGGGACGCTGAAGTGTCGCCGACTTACTGGATTTAGGTCCTGGATCGCTATGGAGTCTTGCACAATTTACGTCGACCGGGTGAATAAGCAGGGATTTAATTGAAACGACTCCGGAAGCCAGCCACCACTTCTTCTGGCTAGGTGTTATGGGGTAATGTTTGTTTACTGGTTCAGGAAATTCAAAAAGGAATCAACTTGGAGCTAATAGGAGACTAGCAGTCACAGGACACATTGGAACCAACAGGATACACGGAGTCGTTTTTACTGAAGTGTTTACTAGACACGTGAGCAGGGGGGGATTTAGAGGGGGGGTCCGGATGTCCTGACCCCCCTCTTGATTTCTGCTTGTGTAAATTTTAGGACGTAAAAGGAAGGAGAGGGGGAGGGGGTTCCTAAACATATGGTGCGCTGACCAACACCTGACCCCCCCTCAGGAAATTCCTGCATCCGCCCCTGCACGTGAGAGGTTCTCGAATTTCGCTTTCCTATTTCCAATTTGATGAGACTTACCTTTCTCAGTTTTATTTTGTCCGAATCATAATAAAATACACACCATATTTGCCGTGGTAGATGTTGTAGTGGGGTAAAGCGCTGGATATTCTATTTTTATCATCCAGCTTTTTGTACTGGCGTAGAGAACAGAACACCACCAACCCAGCGGTTTGACACCTCAGCGCCAAGAGTGTCTGTTAGCACGACTACGTGTGCCATGGTTTGAAGCTTCGGTAAAATGTCCTACTAAAATATCACTTCACCAAATAAACACAACGCTTGAAACAGGTTTTGCTGCGAGTTACCGAAGCAGTGCATGAAGCGAGCCAACGAGCTGAGGGATCCAAGGGCTATGTAGTCTGTCCCAGTCAGTCCTACCCGTGATGTCACAGACAATGATGATGATAGCTGGAGAAGCACCGCCCCAGCGATAGCCCACTTAAAATTGAAAGCAAATCGGGTGAAAATAAGGAGTAAACTAACTTTATTTGCAACCAAAAAAGGTTGGAAAAAGAATGGTAATTTTAGATTTTGTGATTTGCGAAACTACTTGTAATTCCGGGGAGGGGCGGTGAACCAAAGAAGACTCCTTCCCTGTCAGCAATGTTCGCTCCCGTCTTGGCTAAATAACGTCATTTCCGCCGAGGTGGCTAGGGCTCTGTAATTACTAGAAGTGGGCTATCTTTCAGTGTTTTGGAAAAATAGCAAATTGTGCCAAAAAGAAGGGTCGGTTGTCTTTGAGGGTTGGGACATCTCGAGATATTACGGTCGTCTATATTCTTTATAGTTTGCACGTGGGGCTAATTTTGCATGTAAACAAATTTTCATACATAGCACTGCTTGAGAGATGCCTGCTTTATTAGTGCACGAAGAGGCTTGTATCACTCAGAAATCATATTTGATCTAACCTGTTATTCACAAAATTTGTCTCGTTGCATCATAATGAATGATTTGCAATAAGTAAATCGTCTTGTAGTCTGCTCTGCATAAAATATCATATTTTAAATGTGTGTGGCCCGGTATTTGCAGAAAAAAGAAAAGTAAATTAGGAAATACTGGCAACCTCTTTTTATAAAATTTCTGTGGTTGCGTAAACTCCGTTCAACGAATGACATTTCGCATTGCTGACATGTCGCCGATTTGGAATGTGAAAATAGAGGTAAGGAGATTAAAAAGGATTGAGGGGGGGTGGATTCTCTGTTACTGAAGTAGGCCTGAAATTGCAGGGTAATATGTGATGGGAATAATAACTCGAGACTAGACCTTCGTATTTGGGTCAGGCGTATGTTCCTTGGAGGTTGGAGAATCGCAATCTTGTTCCCTATTTTCTTCATTGTGAGCCCCGATTTTTTTTGTTCGACACCAACAAATGAATACCGAAAAACGACCACATCTGTGAGGAAAAGTAAACTCCAAAAACATGGAACGATACTTGTGACATTTTGAAAAATCTGTCCAGACCTGCTTCAGGCCGCGTGCAGTGACCAGCATTTGCAGTCGGTATCACCCGACTCTTGCTTCATTAGCAGCTTGGGTGCAAAGGAGTCTCTTGTTCTTCCATTGTTCGCATAGAGAATAAATATCGGTGGAGGCGAAAATCTGCCCAAGGAGTGCATTCTCGGTGTAGGCGTATCAGCCTGTTCTAGGCGAGGGTCGTCATATTGCCCCTCTGTGACGTGCAAGGAGAGAAAGCGGAGATAGCGTCTATCTCTTTCGGAGGGGGGGGGACTCTCCGTTGCGGTGTGGAAGGAGGCATTCATGTAGATTAGACTGCGCTTGCGTTGGCGATAAGTAATCTAGTAATTTTATAACTTTTTTCTTCTGCATTTCGTAGTAGTGCATGTGCCAAGAAGGCAATGTGCTTTCATTTTACTGCTTATAAAGTTTTTGCTCA